AAACATCAGTTGGCCATTTGTAACTGAATAACGTAAGCCTTTGACCTGACCTTTGACTTGGCCCTATTTGAAATTCAATAACAATAACTGTTTGTAGGTTGATAGGCGACCATCAACCAATTTCTCAGAGGATGACAAGCTGACAAAACATTGCTGTTGCTCTGATACAAGTTTTACTTATGGAGAAAAGTACAAAGCACTGCAGTGTTTGGGTGTTCTGTGTTTGTGTGAGAAAATTTGTCTTACCGAAATGTGAATATTCCATACAAGCTGAAGCTGTCATTCTTGTTATGTGATTTACGGTGCGCTCCTCTCGAAGGATTTATTGGCACGGCACGGCATGATGTTGTGCGTGTAAGCCGTGCACCTCCATTGGAAACCACAAACTTGTGCAAACTCTAGAAATACATGATATGCAAATTACACCTAAAAGGCTGCCGTCATTTTTGATCTCCAGCAGTTGATCTTCTTGCACAGACATGGTGCATTCACCTGATTTTTTTTGATGCATTTCTTGGCAGTTTGTGGGTCATTTACTGGGCACCCTTAGCAAAGACACTTTCCAAAGATGTCTGTTTCTTACTCATTTTGCTGCTAGTGGGTTAAAGTTGGGTGCTCAAGTGACCTAGATGTAACTGTGAGATTACATCATTATTCAAAATAAAAGACTTTTCAAAATAAAAGATCATTCAGACTCAGATAATAAATAAAACAAACATAATTAAAGATTGTTTTTGCAGCTTGGTACCAACCGCTCCAAGGACCAGTGGTTAAGGACCACTGAGCTAGGGGATCAAAAAAGGACTAACATTTACACGGGGCGTCAGCGTCAACGCTTCCCATTCACCGACGCTTCCCATTCAGTGACGTCAAGTATTGCCAAACTGCATTGTGGATCCGTCGGCAATACTTCAGAGGCGTTGCTCACTGCAGAAGTTGGGACTTGCTCAATTTTTCAAGCGCCGACAGAAGCGTCAGCCAATCAGAAAGCTGTATGCAAATACACCAGCTAGACAGTGGCCTATTGCTAACTGAATTTCATTGGCTGATGCTTCTATGACAATCGCTTCAGCCCCAACTTCAGACATGCCTTCAGTCAAGCATAGACGCTGAAGCCCCATGTGAATGGGGCGTAAGGCAACATGATCATTCTGCTAAGAAATGTTTTAAATATGACGCCACCCCCCACAGAGATCGTTGAGGCCTCCTTGTGAGCCCTCTGTTGGGAACCGCTAGAGATTATCCTAAAAGAGTAAACTTCTATCAGGAAATATCACTGTCATAAAGGGCTCATATCCAATTTGCATCCAGATGAATTGAGGGGTTCCCATTGTTTCTCAAGTCATGTTTAAGAGATGAATGCACATGAACACCACCACAGAGACATTATCATGAGTAGGGAAACTGAATTGTTTTATTCAGTTTTCGAGGTGAAAGTGTGCAGAGAATTTAAAACTAAATTAAAGACACATCTCTTGCATCAGCATACACATACAACACAAATGCTTTTAAAATCCAAATCCTCGAAAGGATTGTTAGGGTCCATTAGGGGCGCCTGGAACACTTCCCAAAAGACATAATTTGAACGGCACCTAAGCTTATGCTAGTTTGTTTTTTCATTATTTCAAGATCTCCAAAATCTGAGACTAGGCCGTTTCCCGAGCAGATGCTGTGGCAGTCATGGAGGAATGGAAAGCATTAAACTAATTCCTGAAAAAAAACCCAGTGACAGACAAATCTCCGCGTTGATTCCATGGGCCAGTCTGAATCCTGGTGACCCACTCACACCTGCAGCTTCTTCACGATAGACACCCGGCATTCTTTAACCTTTGGTGCCTAGACTGCAGCTCTGCACAAGAAGTTTGGTCAGAGAAGAAATGGTCTTGCCCAACTGAGCCTGGTTTCTTATAAGGGTTTTTCCTTCACTTTCGCCAATTGATGAAGTTGTCGCCACTGGCTTGCTTGGATTGGGACTTGTGAAGCTGCTCATCGATGGAATTGCTCTTTAGTGTTTGGACTTTCTGTCATGTCCTTGGTTTGATCATCTGGGCTACTTGATGTTGTGGTGTTTGTATTGTCTATGTGTCTTTCCTTAGCACATTTTGTTTTGTTTTGATCACTCGACACATGCCTTCAGGTAACTTTCTACCTCCACGCCATCCTCCCATTTACGTTTTATTATTCTATTAAGCTAATGTCACTCACCTTTCTCATTGATTCCTCTCTCTATTTAATCCTTCCCCGATCGTTTTCCTGTGTCAGACCATTGTTTTGCTTTCCTGTGTGCTCAACGATCTCCTGGTCTTGTCCAGTCTGCTTTTTTCCCATGAGTCCTGTCAAATCTGACTTCCAATCAGTTTTTGTGTTCTTGATTGTACTCTTCTCTGCTACCAGGCCTGCTCCCGTTTTGTACTGCTGCTTGCCTGCTTCTCCTCCTCGCTTCAGCAAGCCATCTTCCTGTTCTCACCTGCATGAAGCGCTCACTCTTCTTTACAGGTGTCTTGGCCTAGGATATGGCATTCTTCGGTCTCACCCCCTGTCAGGTGTTATTGTAATTAGACCTTTATGAGAAGACTTCCTCTATGGAGAAGTTTTTGTTCCTTGGCTTTTGTGTTTTTTAACACTTTTTTGTTCTAATTTTTGCCGTTTCTCCTCTTTTTATTTGAACTTTAGTCTTCTTGGATTGTTTCCTCTACGGAGAGTTTGTTTTGCTGAAGTTTTTGTCTGGAGTTTTTTTTTTTTTTTCTCAATCTACTAAGTGCTACTGAGCGTCTATTAGTTTTTTTTTTTTTCTCTTTGGAGCAGTTTTTGTTCTAGGGTCAGGGTTTGGGGTTTTGTTCTAGGAACCTTTTTGAAAATATTTTATTTTTTTCCCTCTGAGACTGCTCTTTTGCTATAGTGCAAATAAATTGTGAGAGACCTGAAATTGTGTCTGTTCTGTTTTCCTTGACCATCCCTGACAAAATGATCTGACCAAGATGGGCACAGCAGGTCAGATCTGTGGTGGTTCAACAGCGAGTCCTGCTTGCTCAGCATGAGATCAGACTTTTCATCACCACCAGACAAGTAGAGTTTCTGGCTAATCTGGCTAAGAGCCTGTGACTGGGAAACTTCTGTCTGGGAGTCCAGAGCTCCATGTTGTGTCTCCTTTGATGTGCTTCGGTAGGAGATGATAAGGTTTTTTGACAGGTCTGCCATGGTACAGGAGGCTGCAGACCAGCTAGCATGACTTTGTCAAAGATAGCACTCAGTCACTGAATATGCGATCCAGTTCAAGACTCAGCCTCGTGCGACTGGAATGAGGCAGCTTGCTAGGCGATCTTACGTTCTGGTTTGGAAGAGGACATCCAGAATGACCTTGCAACCCATGACTTGCCCCATGACTTTTCATGACCTCATCAACATGGCACCTTGCATCAACGTTTGTCTTTGCCTCCAATATCTCCATAGGCTGACTCATTCCTCAGTCAGGATGGATGACCCTGGTTCACTCTCTGCCTCTGCCTCTCTGTCCACCTTACGTTTTAGGAGAAGCAACAACAACTGGCTTGGGGTCTATGCCTTTATTGTGGCAAGCCTGGACATTTTGCGGCAGCCAAATGGAGAAGTTTGTGTTCCTTAGCTTTTTTTTTTTTTTAAACACCTTTTTCGTTGCCTTTCATCTTTATATAAGAAACTTTATTCTTCTAGGACTGTTCCCTCTAGGAAGAGTTTGTGTTGCTGAAGTTTTTTCTCTGGAGTTTTTTATTTTTTATTTTCCCCTTGACCAGACCTTGACACTTTCAGCAGTGAAAGTTAAACCACACAGAACTAAACTAAACTGAACTTAACTCTGAATACTGGACTGACAGTATAAATTTTTCTAGAACTTTTATGTTAAGCAGATTTAAAACAGTCTACATTGTAAAAGCACTATAGAAATAAAGATGGATTTAAAGATGGATTGAATTGCTGATAAGAAACTTGGCAACTACAATGGTATATTAGGTAGCAACATTGCCAGCTTTTTACACCATGGATGCGCATAAATTTCTAGTAATTTAATGGGATTGAGTCAAGTATTCCGGTATACAGTTCTTACAGCTAATGACACCATACAGATGTTTGTTTATATGTGATTTTTGACTGTACATAATCCGCTGACGAGGTCAGACCAACCACTTCTTGGATTTTGCACATGTTGATATCTATGTATATATATATATATATATATATATATATATATATATATATATATATATATATATATATATATATATATGCTCCCTGAATTATTTTTATACGCACACGCACTCGCACACGCACACACACGCACAGTTGAAGTTAGAATTATTAGCCACCCCCTGAATTATTAGCCGGCCTGTTTATTTTTTACCCCCCAATATCAGTTTAATGTAGAGAAGTGTTTTTTCCAACACATTTCTATGTCATAATAGTTTTAATAACTCATCTCTAATACCTGATTTATTTTGTCTTTGCCATGATGACATAAAATAACATTTTACTAGATATTTTTCAAGACACTTCAATACAGCTTAAAGTGAAATTTAAAGGCTTAACTAGGTTAATTAGGTTAACTAGGCAAGTTAGAGT